TGACAAACTCACTATTTTTGAGTTAAGTCGAGTTATAAAGTCCGAGTTAGGCGATATAAACTTAAATTTGCGAGAAAAAAAGTCAGAATTGTGAGGAAATAAATGTTATGTAAAAATTTTTATAGTAAGGTTTAAATAATATCTCATGCTGTAACTGTAGGGCTAATACAATACGTCCCCTATGAACAGCATTATGTAGACCTATTGTTTAAATCGAATTTATGCTTTAAAAGTAGAGTAATCATAACAGTTTTCATCCATAGTATGTCCATTTAAACGTCTGCGTTTAGCTTCAAATGGCGTCTTTGACGACAGTATTCTATAAAAATTTTTTGCATTCCGATCTTGACATCAAAAGGCACAAAAATGTATGTAGACCTATTGTTTAAATCGAATTTATGCTTTAAAAGTAGAGTAATCATAACAGTTTTCATCCATAGTATGTCCATTTAAACGTCTGCGTTTAGCTTCAAATGGCGTCTTTGATGACAGTATTCTATAAAAATTTTTTGCATTCCGATCTTGACATTAAAAGGCACAAAAATATTTTTTTCTTTTATTCCATGGATTTTACCCATTTACCTCCACTTGTTCCCAGTGTTTTTCTGCAACCACTATGCGCGCGCAGCTGCAAGTGACATAACTGTGACGTCTACTCTGAATTGGTCTGTAGGGACGGGATGTCTGATTCATTTCGGCAAACTGGTTGTTTCAGGCTATTCTTCTCAATAAATTGGTTAAAACAAATACTACTGCAGATGCTCTTTTACGCATTTCTAGCAACCAAGTCGTGGTATGTGTAGCTGAAGCACTGAAATAAAGCTGTACGTGTGAACGTATATTGCTGATCATCACTTTAGCCTCACTAAAACTGAGGTTTGTCGTCAGTATTATTCTGTAATACCGAGTGTCACATGACATACTACTAACAAACACCGATCAGGCAACGGGAGGCGACTCCAAAACCCATCTGGGACTCAAACAGCTCTATCCGTACCAGGCCGCAGTAGACGATCTCTCCAGAGGCTTTCTTCATCTTCCTCAGCTGCGAGACGAAGTACCAGAAGCGAGACTTGGCCACCACATGGTTTGGGGCGAAGATCCTCATGCGGTACAGAGGGGGCGCGGGGTTTTTAGCCGAGGGCAAGAGACGCCCAACAACCTTATACTCCCGAAGCTGCAGAGAGAGAGAGAGAGAGAGAGAGAGAGAGAGAGAGTGTGAGAG